GTACTGGCTTCTGCCTAGTAAGTTAATGGCAGCCTGACCAATTAATAGGAAAAAATAAAAGTAATACCACAATTATACCCCCAGTTTATATAGTTTAGATCATGGTTTCATTGATATTGTAAAAATAGGAATCTTAAATGTTGTAAATTCACAAAATAAATTAAAAAAATATAGTCACTGAAATTGGAATCAATAATAGAAAATTGATTTTCTTTACCTATTTCTTTTTTTTTACTTTCTTTTTTAATTTTTGAGGGGTAATTAAATTTTTATTTATTTGTTTACTCAAATAGAGGTTCTGGGGATTGAACCCAGGACCTCATGCTTGCTAAGCATGCACTCTGCCACTGAGCTATATCCTCCCCCCACCACCTGTTGCTTTGTTTTTACCCCTTCCTTTCTTCTTTTCCATCTGCCTGTTCTCTCCTTCCTTCCTTCCATTTCTTAAGAAGCCCCAGACTGCTCCACAATGGTGGTGGAAATGGTGGTAGCAATTTGGAGAGGTAGGCTATTTAGGAACCACAAGCAGCATTTTTATGACTCAGGTGTCACATTTCACATATGACCCATGACAGGGCTGGCAGTGCTCTGTGGAATGGTGGCAAGAGCAGGCTGAAGCATGTGGATCCTGAGTCTGGACTGGCATGGTGTGAGTGAATGATTTCTAATTCTGGAGAATTACAAGTATCACCACTGTAAGCGAAATCTAGGCAACAGGGGTTTCTTGAAATTTTGGTACCTGAGAAGTGCAACTTCTCTAAATTGGTTATATTTGTCTAAATATAAAAGTCTCCCTAATTAATAGGGCTACTTGTTCCTAGCTGAAGTCAGTCAGATTTAGAATTCCCATGAATTAAATGATGACCTTAGTCCGTTCAGACTGCTGTAACAAAATAGCACAGACTGGGTGCTTACAATCAGCTGAAATTTATGTCTCACAGTTCTGGAGGCTGAAAGTCTGAGATCAGGGTGCCAACATGGCTGGGTGAGAGCCCTGTTTCAGGTCCAACACCTCCCTTTGTCTCTTCATGAGGTGGAAGGGGGTGGGGAGCTTGTGGGTTCTCCTGTATAAGAGCATTAATCCCATTCAAAAGGGCTTCATCCTCCTGACTAAGTACCTCACAAATCTTAAGCCATTGCAGTGGGCATTGGGATTTTAACAAATGAATTTTGTGGGGACACAAACATTCAGACCATAACACTGATCAGGCTGGCTTCCAGTATTCACCACTTCTCTTTCTTTCTCCCTAACTTAATATTTCTTGAGCGTTTGAACCACACGTTGGGCTAATCACCTTGCTTGGTAAAGTTCATTTTATTCTCACAGCAAGCCTAGGAGGTAGGCGTTATCAGTATCCGCATTTTACATGTGAGGAACCAGAGTCCCCAGGTTGAAGGAACAGGGCTAGCATGAGAACAGAGCTGCAAGTCAGACTCAGGCATCTTACTCCAAAGCTGGTGAGCACATCCAGCGCACACACTCTTCCTCTGCTGCCCATTAGCTGTTGGAGGTTGCACACAGAGCAACCCCAGGAATGGCTCAAGTCCATAAGTCCTAGAAGGGTCTTTTCTTTTTCTCTTTGTACTCAATGCCTCTATCATTAAAAAAAGAAATCTGTTTGCCATTCAGGAAGCATAAAACTAAAGGTGGAATACTAATGTAGGAACAAAAAAAACATTTAAAAACAAAAGGTGGCTAATAGGTTAGAGGAGTGATAATCATATTTATTGAGTGCCACGTGTCTGTGGAACAGAAGTATGAAAATAAACGCCCATGATTCCTTCCTTGGACTGTGTCATATAAAGGGAGGGATGGTAGGTAAATAGGCGTGAAAAACAAATAAAAAGGGACTCCAGACAAGCCAAAGCTAATGATAGCCTTATGGATCTAAATTTAGAAATGCTGATTCAATTGAATTGAGTAGAGTGACCAGTGGGGTGAGTTTGGGGAAAAAAAAAAACAAAAAACCAAAAAACAAGGTGGAAGTGAGTTTTGTTGCGCAGTTTTTAGAATGAGTGCAGTATGGTCTGAGAGTTGACGACGGTATACCACACAATTATACGATGATAATTAGCTCAGTTAGGCAAGGAAAGAGATTATTATGAGGTACAGGTAAGCTTTTTCTTTTTTAATCAGATTAATGTTTATAGACCAATTTTCCTAAAATAATAATAAAAACAGCTGACATTTTAAAGCACTTATTATATGCCAGGCATATATATATATATATATTATATATATGTAGGCTTTATACCCATATGCATATTATTTTTTTAATCTTCATAGCAATCCTATGAGGCACTTACTATTATTACCTTTATTTTACAGCATGGTTAATTGAATTGCCCGAGGTCACCCAGCTAGTAAATGATGAACTCAGCCTGATTCAGAGCCTGAGCTCTTATCCAGTATGCTACCTTTCTAACTTCATTTATCTAGAGAGGATATTCCACATGGCATGGTGAAGAATCGACAATTTCCAATTATAAAGCCATATTATTAAGCCATAATAGCTTTCATTTTCTCAATATCTCTTGACTCTTTTTACCTTTCTCCACCTTGACTGCCACCACCATAGTCTGCTTCCACTTTTGCTCCCTCCCAATCTTTCTTCAGGAGTGTTCTTTATAAAACACACATGGGACCATGTCCCTTCCTCACAGAAAACACTTCCATGACCTCCCATAGCCTCTCACTGCTTCAGTGTTTGCCTTTTCCAATAGAAGGAGGTGACTGTGCCTTGTCTTGTTCAAGTGTTGTGTTTCCAACATCTAGGCTAGGGCCTTGTACAAAGTAGTGGCTAAACAAATTTTGTTGAATGCATGAAAACCAAATCACCCTTGAAAAAAAGAATATTTGTCATTTAAATAGGAAAATTAAAAAAGGTGAAGTTGGAGGCATGCAGGTAGGTTTTTCATAATTTTTATTATTTGTCATCACACAATGACTTGTTTATTTTCTTCTTTGATGGCTCATGCCCTTTAGACTGTAGGCTCCATGAGGGCAGGGGCCATGTCTGTCTTGTTCCCTGCTATATCCTAGCTCTATGTTAGGTTCATAGGAGGTGCTTAATAACTGTTTGTTGTTCAATTACCAGTGTGGATTGGAAGCTGTGAATCGAAGATGACAAATAGTACTGGGTAGGGCAGAACTGGAACAGGAAAGTATAACCATAGTTATAAGAGCTGTGGAGGATGAGAATTCTTTCATTCATTCAGTAAGTATTTATAAGGTACTTACTGTGTATCAGACACTGTGCTAGGTAGCCTCTGATGTCATGGAGCTTACTGTCCAGTGATAAATCAACAGGCAATTAAAGTTCAGTGACATAGATTTCCCAAGGGAGAGCAGGAAGGGGGTGCTTCAGGGAACATCTAGGAAAAGACATTTAACAAAGACTTGGTCTGTTAGGAAGTGATGTCTAAATGGTTGATAGCTAAAGGAGGAGGGTGTGGAAAGTGATGGAGAATATTTGTATGTGTGAGTGCCCAGAAGCAGGAGAGCTGCTGGTAGGTTCTCTATAACCTAAAGTTCCTTCTTCTAAAAATTTTTTATTGAAGTACAGTCAATTACAATGATCAATTTTTGGTGTACAGCACAATGTCCCAGTCATGCATATACATACATATATTCGTTTTCATATTTTTCTCCATTAAAGGTTACTACGAGATACTGAATGTAGTTTGCTGTACAAAAGAAAGTTTTTTAAAAATCTATTTTTATATATAGTGGCTAACATCCTTCTTAACTTCCTTTTTTTTAACATTTTTTATTGATTTATAATCATTTTACAATGTTGTGTCAAATTCCAGTGTTCAGCACAATATTTCAGTCATTCATGGACATATACACACTCATTGTCACATTTTTTTCTCTGTAATTTATCATAACATTTTGTGTATATTTCCCTGTGCTATATATACACTGTAATCTTGTTTATCTATTCTACAATTTTAACTTCCTTTTATCCAGCAACTGAGCCCATACCATATGCCAGGCATTGTTTTAAGCTATCATTAAATTTGTATTTGAACTAGTTGTTGGAAAATATAAGTATAATGTATATTACACATATATAATTTAAAATTTATTTTTCTTAAAAATTTTATTACCTTTTTTTCCCCTTTAAGAAGACACACTTTGGGCAGGGCGCACTCCCCGCCCCACTCGCTGCTCCCAAGTGTTTTGCAGATGCTTAACGAATGTTTGCTGAATTAATAAAGGCATGCACGTGAGACTAACTAATCTGACCACTATAAAATAAAAAGCCTTGGATCAACGCTTTTCAATATATCTTCCTTCGATGGTGGTAATGTTCTATGTCCTCAGCGTCCAGATATGGTAACAACTAGCCACAGGGACCTTCCAGCACATGAAGAGTGACTACCGCGACTGAAGAACTCGATTTTAAATTTTACTTAATTTTAATTAATTTAAATTTAAATAACCACATGTAACTAGTGACTTACACTTCAGACAGCTCAGCCTTGGATGGTAAGAGGGATGAAAAAGTCTGAGACGGGCACTGGGACCAGGTACAAGGTTTCCAGCCTCTTTTGTAAAAAAAATGGAGATTGTTAATAAATGGCTATAAAATGCCTAAATTCTGAACTTTTGAATGCCACTGACAGTCATAAATACCTGTGCGCAGTGGCAAGCCATAATTAACATCTCAGTCACTTAAGACTAATACACCTTGCATCCTGGCATTTAGACAAGACACCTAACCCAACGCCATAGGGTGAAAAGGTTGAAAGCTAGGGAACTCCACGTCACTCACGGCGCGCTCGCGGCCTTCGGCTACACCGAACTACATCATGGGCTTTGTAGTTCAACATGCCCGTGACGCCACTACCGGTGTTCCCTCTGAGTGGCTTATCAGGTAGACTTCCGATAACCTGTTGTTCTCTGGGAATTGTAGTCAATAGATGCCTGCCGGACGTGGGCTCTACAGGCCTGGGAACTACAATTCCCGGCAAGCTAAGAGGTGCCCCCGGAGGTAATTAGTCAGCCGGTGATTGCCTCATCAGGTGTGAAGTGTGTGCTATAGTGTCGTGGTAGGCCTGGCTGCCTCGAGAGGGAGGGGAAGGGCTGTAACCACTCCTTTGAGGGGGAATCACCGAGGTCACTGTCGTGGGTTTGCACAGTCGGCTGGGCGGCGCCATGGCGGTGAGTTTTGGCGGGAAGCGTGTCCTCTTGGCCGGGCTCTGGAACCGGGCTGGCTAATCCGTCTGCTTTTGCCAGAAACTAGGGGCTCCATGTGGTAGCCACTGTCCTAAAGGGAAAAACCCCATTCTAAAGATGGAGGAGGCATTGCCTCCCACGTTTAAGTGAGGATGTGCCTTTTCTTGCTACCTGAAGATCCAGGAACTGATAACTAACTTTACAGACTACTTAATGTCACGTTGTGTTATTTGACCAAGGTTTCGAAAAACCGATTTGGAGAGAGAGGAGTATATAACATTGATTCCTCATTTCAACAAAAAATTGTTGAGCGCCTCTTTGTAAAATAGACAAAAATTTCTGCATTCATGGTGTCTGTGTGCGCGCTACATTCTAAAGTATGTGGTAAAATATGCCAGGTGCCGGTAAGTGCTATAGAAATAAATAGAGCAAGAAGAAGGGTTCAAGAAAACCTTTGCTGAGAAGGTGACAGTTGTGGCAAAAAGAAAGTAAGGGAGCAAGCCGTGCAACTATATGGAGGAAAAGATTTCTGGGCAGAGACAACAGTGTGAGTGAAAAGCTTGTACGGAGGGTTGTATGTCCAAAGGACAGTGATCCGGGGGAGATGGGGATGGGTGTGTGGTGGTGGTGAGGAATCTTATAAAGGAGAGCAGAGGAATGGGATAAAGATGAAGATTAAAAAGAGGGCTTTTTTTTTTTTAAAGACAGGAGAAAGTATATAGTGCTTGTATGCTCATGGAAATTATCCTGTAGAAAGGGAAAGCTGATGCAGAAGAGATAAATGATTGCCGGAGTGATGGTCCTGAATAGAATAGAGGGGATGAAATCAGGTGTGTCACATATCACAGGGGAGGGGTTAAATAGTACCACAGTCACCTATAGCACAGGAAAGAAGGCAGAGTATATGGGTACAGACGCATGTGTTTGGGTGGATGTGATGAGGGAGGCTGAGGAAATTTTCTGTTCACTTCTGTTTTCTCATTGAATTAGGAACCAAGTTTATCAGCTGAAAATAAGGATGTTTAGAGGTTTGAGAAGGGAGAAGATATGAAACAATTGTCTAGGACATTGCTGTTACTAGAATTTCCTTTGGTGATGAAAATGTTCCATCATTGTGTGGCTAGTACACTTGAAATGTGGCTAGTACAATTGAAGGACTAAATTTTTAAATTTAGTTTTTTTTGTTTATTTTTGTTATTTTGAGGGGGTAATTAGGTTTATTTATTTTTAGAGGAGGTACTGGGGATTGAACCCCCAAGACTTTGTGCATGCTGAGCATGCACTCTACCACTTGAGCTATACCCACCCCGCTGAAGGACTGAATTTTAATGTAATTTTAAAATTAAATAGTCACCTGTCACTAGTGACTACTGTACTGGACAGTATACACATTAAAGTTTGAGAAGCACTGGTCTAGGGGAAGGAGTAACTAACTAGATTTCAGAAATTAGCAGTATTCCTGGGCATCACTTGACATTAGTGGTAATGGATTTAAATTGAGACTGGTTAGCATGTTTGAGTTTTTATCTCCTACCACTTTCAGCTGCCTTGATGAAGGGGCAGAGCAGGTGGATAGGAACGTTGGAGCTTGGCCAGGCAAGAATGATGAAGAGAAGGGCAAAGGGGTGATTATATAGATGGACTTAAGGGGCAGAAGTGAAGACATGGGGTGGGAGGGACCCAAGGATTAGTGGAAAAGGGTCAAGATCAGTAAGTCCCAATGGGGTGAGAATTAGTGGAGCTGGAATTCTAGCAGAATTAGGACCAATAATACCAATAATTAACATTTCTTGTGTTATGCGTTAGTGTTTAACATTTTACCTGTATTGTCCCTTGAGTCTGCACACTAATCTGTTTGAGTAGGCACTCTTATTCTCTGCAGTTTACAAATGAAGAAACCCAGGTTTAGAGACTCAACCAAGTTCCCGTAGCTAGTACGTGAAGGAAGTGGATTAGAATTCTAACAGACTGACTCTTTTCTTAGTCACTATGCTGTACTGCTTTCCAGGAAAACCCATTTCTTCTTATTCCTGGTCCAGTACTTTTTCTTTTGTTCCAAGCTTCTCAGTGCCTCCCCACCAACCCTACCCTGCCTTGGTGATATGCCTAGCCAGTATGAAATTTGCAGGTCCTTCTTTTTTGGTTGGTGTTAATGGGAATGGATTTTTTCAGTTAGGATAACTTTAATACATTTTGTGTGTGTGTGTGTGTGTGTGTGTGTGTGTGTTTCTCTTTTAGTTGTCTATAAGGAAATTGGCAGTATTCCTGGTAGAACTTACTGTTTTACTTTACTTTATTCACTTCACTTCTTCACCTCTGAAAATATTTGTGTTTTATTTACACTGTCATGATACTGGGCTGACATTAAAGTTAGTTTTATTGGAAGAATGCAGTAAGAACTCCCTTTAAGAAAGAACAAGTAATAGTAATAATAATGTTAAATGTTTAAATGTATTGATTGCTTATTCTGTGCTAGGCATTAATGTTTTACATAATTTTTCATCAGAGCAACCCTATAAAATTAAGTGCTGTTATTACCTTCTTTTTACTGATTGGGAAAATAAAAAGTAGAATTTTAATTCACTTGGTTCCATTCTGGAGCTCATTCTCTTAATCATTATACTGTTTCCAATTGTAAACTAATTGGGAAGTTTCTTTTGCAAGTACCTTCCTATAATGAAAGTTTTCTAACTTTTTGGAGGAAACCTTAGCAATAGTAAAGTGTATAGAACAATCAACATAGAATAGCATGGATATAAAATTAGTTTTTATTTTATACTTGAATTTGTAAAGAGCAAACATAATTTTTTTTCATATTACAAGAATATTTTATAGAACTTTTAACAGTTTTAATGTTTTTTGGTTACATATCAGACTTTTAGAGGAGATACGGGGATGTGATGTAGTAAAGTTAATAACCAACTTAAAAAATTATTGTTCTTAAACTTTTCATTTGGGAAATTTAAATAGTGAACGAAGTAGAGATAATAATAATATTATGTACTTCTACGTACCCATCACCCAGCTTCAATAATTGGCAGTTCAGGGCCAGTCTTGTTTCATACATATCTTCCCTAGACCCTCCCACTCCACCCTTCAGGATTTGTTTTAAGCAAATTCCAGGCACTGTATTTTTTCATTCATGCATATTTTAGTAAGTTTAATGTAATGATAAATTCTCGTAAAACATAAACACAACGCCATTTTGACACCTAATAAAAAGCACATGATGTCTACTTGTCTCCCTGTGGTAATGATTAGCATTATCAAGCATTTACCATGGGTCTGGCACTAGATTAAGTCCTTCATTATTTTATCTCTGTCTTTTTTTTTTTTTCCCTTTGGCCTGGCTGCTGGCTCCCAGAGGGGAGGGCAGGTGCACTGGGCGAGGGGACCCAGCAGCCTCTGCCACTGCGCCTGCCCCGGGCCTGCTTTATCTCTTTTAATCCTGTAATAATAGTACGAGGTAGATAAAATTATTATCCTTATTTTATAGATAAGTAGAGAAATGGAGGATGAAAGAGGTTAAGGAACTTGGCTAGGGTTCTACAGCTAGTAATTGGTGGAGCTGGGATATGGCCAGAGTATCAAGAGAAAGCAGAAATGAAAGTCAGAAGACAAAGGTTTTTGTCCAACTTAACCATTTGCTGTTATGATCTCTGAGCTTCACATTCATCACCTTTGAAATGATAATCATTGGTCTTCTTCTTAAGGTGGTTGTTGCCCACCTCTTAGGGTTGTTGTTGACATCAGATAAGTTAATGTTCATAAAAGTTTTAAGAACTGCAGAATACTATGAATAAATGAAAAAGTTTATTATCTAGTTCAGTGATTTACAGGGGTGATGTCCCCCAGTGAACATCTGGTCTGGAGACTGAATGATCACAGTTGGGGGTGTACTACTGGTAGCCACTGGGTAGAAGCCAGGGATATTTCTGCAAATCTTGCAATGCACAACACAGTCCCTGAAAGTGAAGAATTATTTGGCCAAAGTTTAGGAATTCTGATCTTATTAAATAATCTTTTAACTCATTTAATTAACCAGTTGTCTAGTTGAGGAACCAATGAAGGAATAATTGAAGCTCAGATAGATCAAGTGACTTGCTCAAAGTTATATAACAAGTTGGTGCTGGGGCCAGTACTAGATTTTATTACAATTGACCTCAGAAGTTTTGAGGAACAAGTTTTTCTGAGAAACAGAGACCTCAAAGAAGAGCTTTTGTGTGTTGAGCATGCTCAGCATAGTGAAAAGAAACACACAGTTCTCTGGAATTTGGGAAGATTCTTGCTTTCATGTTCCTCTTTGAAGTGAGTGATATGGTCATTTTCAAGCAAGAAATACTTGTCATATAATTTCTGTGTCTGTTGGCATTGGATGTGGTGCTGAGGTGACTAAGAAAGTTGCTTTCTCTGTGGAGTTCACAACCCAGGTGGGTAAATGTCTTAGGGATTATCAGGTTGCAAGCAATGGAAGCCAACTCAAGTTGGTTAAAGGGAAGAGGAATTTAGTAATGTTACAGTGGGATTTCATATGACCCATGACCCTAGGATAGAAGGGACGATGAGGCTTCAGGAGGTCCTAGATAACTTTTGCCTTCATGGATTCTTTCTTCTGTAAAAAAATATTAAAAATTTCATTTTACAACTGTTGGTGTAAAGACATAATATGTATTAGTTTTTTTCTTCAACCTAAAAGTTTACTTTTTTCTTTTGATTTTAAAAGAAATTAAAACATTTTTGTGAGCCCCTAGAAGTACTGTGGGCCCTAGGCACTGTGCCTGTTCCACCTATAGCAGGAGTTGTGCAGGTTGTTTTAAGGGCCAGGTGGAAGTGACTTACTTTCTTCTGCTCAAACCTCCCTTGCTAAAACCCAATCCCCATAGCTCCAATCTGTGAATTCATCTGGAACCATGGAAGGGCACGCTTAACTGCCTCTGCTGCATGGCCCTGAAGAAGACTGGGCTTTTGTTGCTGAGGAGGAAAGGGAAGGAGTGGATATTGCACAGGCAAACTGCCGTCTCTGCCATCACTTTTTTTTTCAAACAGTAGTCCTTGTATATTAGAATTGAATACAGGGGTCAACATATATAGGAACAGGGAGACGTACTTATAATTTATAGGTTACTTGTTAAGAAGAGAATTTTGCAATAAGGGGGAGCAAAGTAACTGAAAGTCTAAATGAAATCAGTTAGTAGCAAGAACAGAAAGAAGTAGATAGATGCAGGGCCTTCTTTCTTGGAAAAGGAAATATCTTATGCATACTTAGTTTTTGGAAATTCTTGGGAAAGAATCCAAATTGCTTAGCACCCTGATTCAAATATACAACCCAGTTCCTAGTCCATGTTATTTTGTTATGGCCACAATATGCAAAAGCTGGTAATGTGTTACTTTCTTCCCTTTTTAAGTCTTTAAATAGTCAGCAAATATTTGAGAGTCTGCTCTAAGCTAGACATTGAGGATATTATGACAGATGAGACACAATCCCCACCGTGAACAAACTTATAGTCCTATGGGGAATACAAACAGATACTGACACCATGTGATCAGTGCTATCATAAGGGCAATACTGGTAGGTAGGATCATATTAAGAATGGCATCTAATACACTCTTGGGGAATCAGGGCAGATAATTAGCTGAGACCTGAGGGATGAGATAGCCAGGCCAAGAGATTGGTGGGGTATGGGAGCAAAGAGAATAGTTTGAACAAAGGCCCAGAGGGGAGACGGGGAGCTTGGCACACTTGGGAAAATGCAGATGGTTTAACAGTCCTGGAGTGGTGGTGAGAGGGAAGTGGGAGGGGCCTGGCAAAGATGAGAGAAGGGCCTTGAGTGCCAGGTTGAAGAGTATGGACTTTATCCAGAGAGCAGTAGAGAGCCTCTGAAGAGGAATTGACTCTACTAATTTTGTGTTTTGATTCAGTCTCCACTCACAATAATGACCTGGTCAGGATTTATAGAAATAAAAAATTTTACTTGTCATTTTTATTTTCCTTTGATTACTACAGAAACTTACGTCCATGATTTTTCTTTATATGTATATATATGTAAAATATATATACATATATATATTTTTTAATTAAAGTGTAGTCAGTTTACAATGTTGTGTCCCATGACTTTTCAAATTATGGACTTCTTTCTCATTTCCTCTCTGCCTTTGTGGCAAGGTTCTTTTAATCCAGCATTGCACCTCCTACTTTTAGACTGACGTTTCATCTTTCTGTTGCTTGTCCTTCTTTTCTACCTTAAACTTGGCTTAAAAAGGAATAGTAAACTATTCTTTGATTTAAAATATAGAAAACTGATTAGCAGAACAGAGCTGACAATTCTATGATTGGTTTGTACTGAATCTTACCTAATTTTAATACTTTTAATTACTTTTGATTACATAATATACAAGGCATATTTCAGATGGTTATTGAAGAAACAGTGGTATGTTTGGGTTTTCTCTTTAATTGCACAGAATTCCTCTTTGCATAATACTTCAAATTTGTGTAACCATTAAAAAAAATAGCTGTCTAAAAATCCAGTATATCTGTGCTGTGAGTAGAAAGCATGTTTTAAATTGTTGGGTGGAAGGACGGAGGGAGACATGACTAAAAGAGGTCGAGATCCAGAGGTTAGGCGACTTGGCAAGATCACCTGCCTAGTAGGTTGTAAAAGTCTAAGTAGAACCTGGGTATTTTCTCATTCGAAATTGCTGCAGAATCTGGAAATGTTGTCATGTAAGAAGGGGCAGAAAATCTAATTTCGGTTCAGATAATTTTATACCAGAAAATAAGATTCTAGAAACTAATATTCAATTTGCAAAACAGAATTAGATTCATGTGTGGTCCATTGGTATCCAGCTTTCACACTTGCCAGGCCTGTAAGTGCTGTGTCCTGCTCTGGCTTCAGCACACGTGCTTTTAGCAGCTAATTCTTTCGCACAGAGTCACAAACTGGGAAGGAAGCTCTAAACCTTCTTTTTCAGAGTTGAGAGTGATCATGTGTGTTCTTTCCTTTCACTTTTATCCAAAGATGGCATAAGGGCTGAGGGGAGTGTTGAATGTCAGGTAGATCCAGTATGCTGGAGGCATGCTTGCCATTCCTCTGTTTCATTTTAATTTCATATTAATAGCCTGTTAACCATGTTGGAGAGAAGTTCTTCATCAGCTGCCTTGAAAACATGCACAGATGACTTATCCTCCCTCAGCCTCTACCCGTTGGGTCTCACTGTCCTCCTTTGGTGGGTGTGATTCCTGCTGGGCAAGCAGGCGCTGCTCCATCACTTGCTTTCTAAGTATTCATGTATTTTAACTAAATGGGGACATTTGACAACAGTTTACATTGTAGTATCAGAGTAAAAACAAGTACTTCAAAGCTTTTTTTATGTTTAAGTAATTCTTTAATCATCCCTTTGAGGTTTGAAGTGGACAGGTCATGATAACCCCAGTTTTTAATCTTACTCACTTAAATTTTAAGATAACAGTGGGAAAATTAATCTGTCTGAAACAACTCAATTCTGTATGAACCCTGTTTTTTTTCTTTTTCTTAAAGCAAGCCTGTTGAAATATAGTGTGGATTATCCTGTCTCTTTTGTGTCTAATAGGAAAGAAAAGGAACAGCCAAAGTGGACTTTTTGAAGAAGATTGAGAAAGAAATCCAACAAAAATGGGATACCGAGAAAGTGTTTGAGGTCAATGCATCTAATTTAGAGAAGCAGACTAGGTGAGTAATAGTTTGTGAAGTTCTACACATAATGTTTCTAAAAGTATTGGCTGCAGAATCTGCTCTGTGGAAAGGATAAGGCAAGTTGTATTTATAATGTCTGAAATGGGCTGAAGGATTTGACTTATACTTTCTGCATTTCAAATTAGCATCCTCTTTCCTGTAGAATTCTTAAAGGGTTTTTTCTACATAAATTTTTAAACTAATATTTTCCTATTTAGACAAATGAAGGAGAATGTTTTGAAGTTTCATCTTTGCTGACTGATAAAAGAAAATCATTCTATTAGAGATTCATATTATAATGATAATTATCTCCAAAGGCACAAAATACAAGTTTTGAAGGGTTTCTGTATTTTAAGATCTTATTTTATAAAACTTTGTTGCCTTCATGTTGAGAATCATTGTTTATAAGACAGACCATAGATAATGATGTGATATTGGAGAAAAACAACAAAATAACTGCCACAATACAGTACCACAATAAATATGTGCATCAATTATAAGATATATCTCAATTTCAGATATGTTGGAATGTACAAAAATGTGCTCCTTAGAGTTGAGAAAATACACTGACAATAACAATAATAGTAGCTAATATTGAACACTTACTGTTCAGTATGCCAAGGCAGTAGGAAATATGCCATTTTTTTACATGCATAGTTTAATCTTTTTTTAACTTAAAAAAATTTTTTTGTTTGCAGGGGAATGTAATTAGATTTATTTATTTTATTCATTCATTCATTTAAAGTGGTGGTACTAGGGACTGAACCCAAGACCTACGCCATGCTAAGCATGAGCTCTACCACTGAGCTATACCTTCTCCTCTTAGTTTAATCTTAATAACCCTTTAAGATTACCAATATTTTAATTCTTATTTCATAGATGAGTATACTGAGGTACAGAGAGGCTAAGTAACCAGCTCAAGGTTGCATAACTAGGAATTGACAGGGCTCAGACTTCTTATCAGGACTTTCTTTTTAAATTAAATTTAATTTTCTAATTTTTTTTAATTTGATTTTTAAAAAATTTTCAACATAAGATGACTTTATTGAAGTGAATGCATATACAGAATCCCCATATAAAAGTTATCAGAACTTTCTGATTCTGAAGTCTTTCCTTGCTACTAAGCTATACTCTAGTAGGATTTTTTTTAAAAGAGTAAAGGAGTTTGCTCTCATACAAAGTCTCTGGTGTTATACTTTAATCTATAATTTGAAACTCCTATTTGGTTGTAGAATTTTGGTCAACTATAAGGTAATTTAAAATGATTGAAAGTGAATTGGAAAAGCTCTTTTACTCAGTGAAAAAAAAATGAACTGAAGAAACTTAGAAATATAACATTGAGTGAAAAATGCAAATTGTAGAAGTGTATGTGAAGTAGACCATTTTTTAATAAAGCTTACAGGGGAGTAAAACTAAATAAAACATCATTTAAGGGACCAGATTATGTGCAAACTGTTAAAAAAACAAGGGAATAACAAAAGTAAATTTCAAGATACTGGTTATCTCTGGTGGGAGGGCAGGGAGGAATATACAGGTAGCTTCATTGAGTTTGTAAGTGGGGTGGTGTGTTTACGGGTGTTCATTTTATTGTGTTTCATAAATTTATGTCTATTAGATATACTTGATTCATAAAAAAAAGAATAAATCATAATACATTAAGCAGCTTTAAAAAGGTGCTTTTAAAATGAATTTACCCTGTATCATGTAATATTAGGGATGTTTTCTTTTACCTGAGGGACTTTGAATGGCTGTATATATCTCTAATGAAAGCAAGTCTCACTTAATCAGTAAAAGATTAAATTAATCCAGATTCCTAAGAGTACTAATTTTTTCTTTTCTAGTATGTCTTCTTAGTATTTCAGCTCAAGTTAAATCTACAATGTTTGCCACAAGGATATTTAGTTCTTTAATAGCTAGTTATAAATATTTCATTTTTACTAAATCAAAAATAAATTTCAATTTTAGAGAGCTTTTAATTTCTGGATTTATAAACTTTAATTTTAAATGTCTTTTAAATAACTAAAATTTAAACAAGTTATTCATGGTAAGCATTCCCTCAGCCCTACTCTTAATTGTAAAAAGAACTTAAACATTTTCTTTTCTGTACTTTTTTTACCTGGTTGTTTTGCAGCAAGGACAAGTACTTTGTAACCTTCCCATATCCATATATGAATGGGCGCCTTCATTTGGGACACACATTTTCTTTATCTAAATGTGAGGTAAAGCTTTCTCTATGTTTAATATAGTGGGGTGGAGGGTCTTTAATTAATACTATTTTGAAGAAAATGATGTCTGTAAAATTTATTTCCTGTTAAGGGAACATGTAATTTCTTAATTTTCAGCATAATTTTTATATTTAAGTAATTTAATTTACATATTTTCATATGTGTAAGTATATATGTGTAGGGGTCTAGGCATGTATACAAAGTTAATAAGTAATTCCTAGGTTGGTGAAAAGACAAAAAAAGAATAGTGGGCTAGAATTTTGGAATGACTATGAAATCTAACTGGTGTTCTAAAGGAAGACGTGAAGAGGAAAATGAAACTGATGATCTTTGTGAAAAGTTAGCATTTTGTATTCATCTAGCATTTAAATTTGTAGTTTAAATTCAGTTTTCTTTCTATAGTTTGCAGTAGGGTACCAGAGATTGAAAGGAAAAACTTGTCTGTTTCCCTTTGGTTTACACTGTACTGGAATGCCTATTAAGGTAAGATTGCTTTGGGTTTGCTTTCTACTCTTTGGAGCAAATAGTAATATCCAAGAGCTTGAAATAGAATTGTCAAATGTGTACTTCTATATTGTGTTGCAGGGTTTTTGAAGTGAGTTGAATTTATTATAGTGAAAATTAATTTTTAGAAAGCATATGAAGAAGTGCTTAAATAAAGGGCACACATTAAGGTCTAAGTGATTTCTAACTAATTTTGATATCTTTTGGTTACCTTGTATATTCATATTTTTGTTTTAGAATTAGTTAATAACTGCTAACAATTAAAATGGGCAGTGTTTTGTGCATTCATGATGTATGTAGACTGTTAGCACAAAATACTAAACAGTCATATTTTGGCCATTTTTGCAAGTGTCTTAAATTTGTCATAAATTTATTTTAAAAATAATTTTCAGCAAAAAACGGGCTAAAAAACTAGAGTTGGGAATTGGGGAATTTAAGTCTCATTTCTTTTTCTCCAATCTTTTATTTTGAAAAATGTCCAACTTATAGAAAGGTAAAAGGATAGTTCAGTGGACACCCATGTACCCTTCACTTATAGTTACCAAGTATTAACGTTTGTCACAGTTGCTTTAGTTCTGCCTCTCAACATAAAATGCATACATGCTTTTTTCTCTCTTTTTCCTGTGAACTCATTGTAAGTAAATAGCAGACATCGTGACATGTCACCCGTAAACACTCCAGCATGTATCTTTTGAGATAAGGACATTCTTCTACATTGTCACAATCCCAGTATCGCCTCCAAGAAATTTAACATTGAAAAGTATTATCATTATCTGTTGTCACATTTCTCTAGTTGTCCCAAAATGTCCTTTCTGGCAGTTCCTTACTTTTTATTTTGTGGGTCACACATTGCATTTGGTTATCACCAATACTACATTGGTGGAGTTTAAACTTCCCACTGTATCATATCAATGGCAGCTTGTCTTCATTTTAGTGATATTAATTAATAACTGCCAGATTTCCTCATTCTGAAGGTAATCTCTCTCTTTTTTAATTAAAAAGAAATCTGTGGGATGATACTTTAAGAGCCTCTGAATATCTGGTTACCTAGTAACTCAGTGGTTTTGGCATGCTTTGATGATCCTTGTCTTTTAATTACTGAATCTATGCTTATAAAATGATGACTTTCTAGTTGTCTCATTCTTTCCCTATTTATTAACTGAAATTCTTTGTAGAAGATTCTCCTCCCTTTTTTAAAATTCACAATTCTACATTCGTATTTTTCTCATAATTTTAACATGTCTACTTGGTGTCATCTTTGTGACAGTGGACTCACAGTACAGCTGAAATGAGTTGGGGTTCAAAGTGCAGGTTCATGTGTTAGTTCTCCAGCTTACTAGGTTTATAACTTTGGATAAATCACTTCATCTTCCATTGTATGTTTTCTAACTTAATATCTGTCCTATCTACCTAGCAGGCTTGTGATGGTAACTATTAGGATATATGTGACAGTAATCTTTAAATTGAGAAAAGCAGTTATTAATGTTGTTACTTAAAATGATAACACTATATCTTATATATCTTTGTACTTCGAACAGCTGACAAATAGTGTACTGCATTGAGTAGACTGGGTATTGAATAAGTGGTTACTGAGGAAATGAAGTAGTGGATTTTTAGGTACATGACTTGTATGATTTGAATTTTCTATAATGATCCACTTATGTATAGATGTATTGCAGAAAATTTCACGGTAAGTTTTAGTTGATCATAGAAACAACAAAAAAACTCAGATTGTTTCTACTTTGAATTTTGAACTTTACCATCTCTAATGTTGTGTTTGTTATAGGCATGTGCTGATAAATTGAAAAGAGAAATAGAGCTTTATGGTTGCCCCCCTGATTTTCCAGATGAAGAAGAAGAAGAGGAAGAAATCAATGTTAAAACAGAAGATACAGTAATTAAGGATAAAGCTAAAGGAAAAAAGGTTTGGTGATACTTCTTTTGCTTGAAGTTTTACATTTATATTTGTCTGATTTATATGCACATTTCTAGTACTAGCACAGTACCTGACACATAAAAAGTATTCAGTAATTTTTAAAAAATAACAAAGCAAAAAATTATGTTTCTCATTTTTTGGTTATCTTTTCCCCCCCTTTTTACTTTCTTCTGAAATAATTTTAGACTTACAGAATTGCTAGATTGTACAGGGTTCCCTTAGAATATTCACACAGTTACATAACCCAGTTATATAACCAGGGTACAGTCCTCAAAACTAAGAAATCAATTTGAACAGTACTGTTGAAGAAACTACAGACTTCATTTGGATTCACCAGTTTTTCCTTATTGTCCTTATTCTGTTCCAAGATCCCACTTTGCACTTAGTTTGTCGTGTCTCTTCTGTGTTTGTGTTATATGATCTTGGCACTTTTGAAGAGTACTGGTAAGATAATTTATAGAATATCTGTCTGTTAGGGTTTGTCCAGTGCTTTCTCATGAGTAGATTGAGAGATGATGTGTCTTTAATGCATCATATCAAGAAGTTTAAGATATTGATACGTCTTATTACAGGTGATGTTAACCTTGATCAGTGGTTTAGGTGGTGTCTGCTAGGTTTTCTTCTGAGATTTTGTTTTTCCGTCTTTACAGAGAAGAAATTCATATGTATTTTGAGAGAGATACTTTGAGGCTATGGAAATAATATCTTGTTTCTTTTAAAATATGTACTCACTAATTTGAGCGTTCATCAGTGCATCTTGCCTGCAGTAGTTATCACTGTTGTGTTCTAATGGTGATTTTCCGTTTCCCTCATTCCTTCTACATTTATTGTCTGGAATTCTTCTGAAAGGAAGAGTTGTCCTTTCCTCCCCACTTATTTATTCATCTCTTTTTTATATCAGTGTGAATTCATGCATGTTTATTTATTCTTTGCATTATAATCCAATTCTGTTGGATTTTTTTGTTGAGTTGTTGTTATTGCTCAAATTGTTCTAGATTTGGCCATTGGGAGTCTTTTAGATTGGCTCCTGTGTCCATCTGACATGCGCCTTTCTTTTCTTCTTTTCTTTTCTTTTTCCTTTTCTTTCTCCCTTCTTCCCTTCCTTGAACCTTTCTGTTTTTCTCTCTTTCTTTCTCTTCCTTACTTTCCAGTGCCACAAGATGCTCCAGGCTCAGTTTATATTTTCCCTGTTTGAGCCCTGGAATCAACCACTTCTCCAAAGAGTCCTTTTTCTTTTTGATGGAAAATGGTATTTAGAAACTAAGCTCTGAGCACTGGGTTTGCTCATTGTTTCTAGGCCCTCTCAGTAGAAAGAGCAGGGAAATGTATGCATGTCTACTAACCCACTTAACTGTATGTGTAGTATTTATTTCTTTATCTATCTATCTGTATTTTTTTAAAGTGCACACTGATACCCCTGCTGCTGTGTTAGCACCATAGGGCTCATTCTAGCATTGTGCTTTTGCTTATTTGTGACTTCTTTCTCAAATAGTAGGAAACCCGGCTCTCATTATTTACAGTATATTTGTTGTTTGCTCAGTTCTCTACTAGTAGTTTCAGAATTGCTAACCTGTACCCCTGAGGGAAACAGTTTTACCAACTAAAGTAGTACAGCGGTTGTGTATAGTTCTTTTTGTCTTTAGAATCTACTCAGCACACCGTTTTCTAAAATGACTTCTAAAGCTCCTTTCTTCCCTACCCCTTGTGGTGTGGTTATGTCATATATTTGTAATACAGTTAGATACATTTTTCACAGTCTTTATTCCATTTTGGGTTCCTCCAACATCTTGGTCGATTTTTTAAAAACAATTTACATGTAGTAAAATTAACTCTTTGTAGTGTATCATTGTGTTGATTTGACAAATCCATGGAGTTAAGTTTCTACCACCATAGTACCATACAAAGTAGTTCCCTCATCCCCTAAATTCCTTGTCCTGCCTTTTTGTTTGTAGTTCAACCTGTTTCTTTGCCTATCTCCAGTCCCTGGCATGTGATTGCCTTTTTGATATTGGTAAATATTGAGAAAGGAGGAAATTCTTTTTGGTAACTTAATCATAACTTTAAAAAGATGCATGTGACATTAGAAAAAAGGAAGTAGAGAAGGTCTGGTGCTAAGATCTTTGTAATGATAATTCTTTATGGTTCCACACATTTAGTTATCTTTGGTGTCAGAATCCAGGTATGGTTTGGCAGACAAAATAGTACATCCAAATCCTGTAGTATTCTGACATGTCAATAGCATTGTTTTGGAGTTTAAAAATTACCAAATGGGATTACTCACTTAAAGTTGTTGTGGTTCTGGACTTTGTTAACCAGTGGTTGGTTTTTCTTTGATGGAGTTTGCTGGTCTTTTTAGAGTAAAGCTGCTGCTAAAGCTGGATCATCTAAATACCAGTGGGACATAATGAAATCCCTTGGTCTGTCTGATGAAGAGATAATCAACTTTTCTGAAGCAGAACATTGGCTTGACTATTTCCCACCACTGGCTGTTCAGGATCTGAAGAGAATGGGTTTGAAGGTACGCCCATCACCCCGATAGTCTAGGAGAAAGAACGTAGTGATATTTTTGTGATTGTGTGAGATTTGGACCACTTCTTAATTTAGAGTAGTAAATTCCACCAGTATTCCTCTAATGACTCAGTATTGTTATTGTCAGATTACAACCAAATGGTCCTTGATGTAAGCAATGAAGTACTTTAATATTTGTTGTTTTGGAATATATTTAGATATATTGTCAATGAGTAGAAAGGAATTCTAGTCAAAGAATATGAAGAAGCCCGAGTGTTACTTAACTATTTAGGGAGACATAAGGGTGTTATTTAAATGTTTCTTCTTAATTTATTATAATTCCTACATGTTTAACATATAAGTGTGTGTTTAAAAACTTACATATTAAGCACAAAGTAACATATTAATTGTGATAGTTATTTAATAGGTGGGACTTGAAATTTTTTGGTTTGCTTTTGATATTTGATATAATTCTAAGTTGGACAGTAAAGAGTAGAAGGGTAAATGATTTATGAGAATTCTTATTCATGGAGACTATACAAGTTTCTCAAAAATTACCTTTTCTTTTCTCCTATAGGTAGACTGGCGTCGTTCCTTCATTACCACTGATGTTAATCCTTACTATGATTCGTTTGTCAGGTGGCAGTTTTTAACATTAAGAGAAAGAAGCAAAATTAAATTTGGGAAGCGGTGAGTTTGTTATCCTTTGGTATAATAAAGCAAAAATCATATAATTCCTGCAATGTTGGTCAGTGTGCCCCATAGCCTACTTTTTTCCATTATCCTTTCTCTTTCTATAATTTTTCTTTTTATTCTCTTGTTTCCTTTGTCTACCTTTTTGTCTTGCCAGTATCTTAATTTCTCTGAGTGCTTAGTATTTGTGATAGAACCAGGGAGAGTAGGGATGTTGGTGTTTATGATCTCACTAAAGATTCTCTTAAGATTTTAGCCAAGCAGAAAAATAATTTTATTTGCTTTATTATTTGCTCTATAAATTGTTCTGTAAGGTTCTTTCTTGATAATATGGGTTAATTAAAAGCTATTTGCATTTCACAAGTGAATTTATATTTTATAATCTTTTGTTTCATACCAAAAAGCCAAGATCAGTGAATATTTTTCAGTGGTATTACCTTTGATGAAGGCAGAAATCTTTCATTAAATAATTATGTTGGCTGATACAAACTACTATGTACAGAATAGATAAACAACAAGATCCTACTGTATAGCACAGGGAATTATATTCAATGGCTTGTAGTAACCTGTAATGAAAAAGAGTATGTATATGTATAGCTGAATCAGCATGCTGTACACCGGAAACAAATACAAGACTGTAAATTAAAAAAAAAATGCAGATTGAAAGAAAGAAAAAGGAAAAAAGAATCAAAATGGTAAAATAATTCTTATAAAATAAAATAAAATGGTAAAACAATTCTTAAAAACAATAAGTAACTATGTTGGCAATAGACCTTCCCATAAAAGCATAAAAATGATGTAGACTTTTTTTTAATTAGAAGAAATAATTGTGAGATGCTAAAAACAACACTGGCAAATATAGTAGGATAAAACTTGTGTATTATGATAATACTTGTCGCTTATTATTTATTTTTTAGGTATACCATTTATTCTCCAAAAGATGGACAGCCTTGTATGGATCATGACAGACAAACTGGAGAGGTAATTATTTATGACATAGAGCAGTTATTATAATAATTTTTAATATGGGCATAGAATTTAAGAAACAGATCAGAAACCTGACAACAACTTTATTCCAGTAGTGAGGTATACAGTCATTGATAGCCTGGTGGCTGTGAAGAGGGAGGCAGAATGTCATCATAGGCCTCTGTCTTGTCCAGGACCTTGCTACTCCAAGAGTGGCACTTGGTTCAGCTGCATCAGCTTGTTTCAGAAAAGGACTTTCTTTTTTTTAATTTGCTTTGTACTTATTTATTTTTAAATCCTTAAAAAATTAAAAAAAATTTTTTTTTTGCAGGGGGAGATAATTATGTTTATTATTTATTTTTATATTTTATTTTATTATTATTATTTTTAATGGAG